CCACTAGCCAAGAGAGCTACCTGCTGAGATAGCTACCCACTGAGCTGTGAGACTGCCTTCAGAGTAACTTCCTTAACACCATATTTGGACAGTACATCCTGAATAACACATGCTTATACATTTAAAATGTTCCATTCATAAATACTACAGAATATTATATGAATTCATACTCCTCATTGCCACACTGAATTAGGGAATTATTAATTACTTATTATGAGGCTAAAACCTTATAAAAAGCAAACTTTAAGTCTTATTAAGAAGCAAACTACTTAAAATAACATTCATCCTTTCCCTCCTTTTACACTGTTCTGTAAAAGCATTCTTCTGTACAATATATTGTAATTCTCATTTGTTTAACACAGGTTTCCACATCTATTTTATGATGGTTCTTTGTTAATTTACATTAACATAACTCAAGCATCAAAATAAACTGTACTCCATTTTTTCTTTGTCATTGCCTCATACATAATGTAAGCATTATTGTTTACTTCCTGAAAACCCAATGAACTTGCTTCTGTCGTCCTATCTTATTAGCATGTTGTTTTGATTTTGTTCCCAGCATAATGCTTTCACTTTTAAGGCACCTCTCTAAGGCACATTTTTAAAGGATTTTGAAAGTTTAGGGCAACACTTCTGCACTCTATTCAATCAATTTTCATATATTTTTTCATGCCACATAATTTTCCAAAAGCCTATTACTGTATTGACAAATATTTAAATATATTTATTAAAAGAAAAGAGAACAAATATTCAAAAACTCGCTCATTTAAGCTGTGAAACTGCTGGTTTTTGTCTGTGCTGGGGATTATTTTACTCACTGTTAAGAGAGCTTTGGTGTCATGCCCTGTCATAGCTTCAATCATTCCACTCATTTTGTTTGGTAATTAAGGGGAGGAGACTCCAAAGCTATTATGTTCCACTTCTGGTGTGTGGTAGTGAGTACAGTAGAAGTTAAATGACCGCTAAAATGTCCCATCATTAGCAGCTTTTCTTACATCTTGCAAACCAACAACATTTCATCTTAGATTGTTCTCTCCTATCAATACTGTCTTTTCTACTACATTCTAATCAGGACTTGCAAGCTAACAACTGTGGTTCTTTTACTGAGGCAATCTATCTCATGTAAGGTCTTCCTTTCCCTGCACACGCTCATACCTTATCCTAGAAATATTGTCTTTTCTGCATTCTTGAAGGGTTTCATGGCCGGGATCCTATGGTAGTTGTGGGTTTTCTGGGCTGTTTTGGCCATGTTCTTAAGGTTTTTCTTCCTAACATTTCACCAGTCTCTGTGGCCGGCATTTTCAGAGGACAGGAATCAGAACTGGAATCAGTAATGCTCTCCTCCAACACTACACTTTAAATGGGTTGATTTTTTCCCTTGTCTTTCTTCTGTCTCCTTCTTTTACATGATGTGGATGATTTTGTTCTTTGTTGACCATCTTTGCTTTCTTTTCTTTTTTTAATTTCAAAAGATGATGGGATATCTTTTGAAAAGCATGTAGGTAACATGTTCATAGAGCTTTTGCTTCAATGTAGCTTTTCTTCTTAAGGTTTCCTGCCCCAAGGGAAGTGTTTGGAAATTGGAAGATAGCTTTCTAGTCTGCATTTTGTGAAGTGGCCATGGCAACATTAGTTTAGCTGATTGGTTAAAGGGTACTTATGTTTCTCTGTTGTGTGTAAAGTACTTACTCATACCTTTGCTTTGCCATTTTATTAAGTCCAAAATGGCCTTTTAAAATATTTCAGCACAGGGGAACTTCAGCCACATCCAAACTGTTCTTGCCTCTGTCCTCTCTCAGCAGCCATAGTACCGATCATATGTTCATCTTCTGGGATCCTCTAGCACTGGGGAATTCTAGATGAAGGAAGTTTCATTTGGAATTTGTGTGTAGTATATGTATACTTAAATTTCCATTTTTAAGAAGCTAAGAAATTAAATTCTTAAAAAAAAACACCACTCTGATATGTGAATGTGAGATTTTGTGCTTCTGTAATCCATAATTCAAAACACCAAGAAAATGTTGCCAGCAGGAAAAAGAATGCCAAATTTTACATACCAAAGGGCACACTGAATGTTGACAGCTCCCGATGGGAGTGGTCAAAATGGTCTAAAGGATGCTTTCTTGTGCCCATTACCATTCACACTTGTCCAAACCCAGCCATAAAATTGCTTAGTGTTTGGGTGAAAATTGGTTAACTGATGAAAAAAGGAGTCAACTTCTGTGATCACTTGCTTCATATAACTTGGCGAATAATAGTGAGTACCCTCGGGTAGACTATCTTGACTGCTGCCATTGCTGCTGTCAACATTCAGGCTGCCTTTTGCTTTATAAAGCTTGCCATCCTTTTTCCTGCTGGCAATGTGAGTATGGTACTGTATAGCAGTATCAGGCCATTTCTTGGTGTTTTGAATCATGCATATAGAAGTACCATTTCCCGCACTGATAAACTAGAGGGTTTTTAAAAGAATTGAATACATACAGTTTTACTCTTCCCATGCAAGAACTGATGTCCTTTGCTGTAAAACAAAATCAGAGCCATACTGCACTAGCGTGTGCTCACTGCATTACCCTGAAATGTCATATTTCAGAAGCAATGTCTCTTTGTTTACTGCATAGTGTGATGTTCTGGGTGTATCTGCACTATGCAGGTCTATGTGATACTGCTTTAACTCTCAGGGCTCCATCCTAAGGAATCTTCAGATTTGTAGAAAACTAGCGCTGTAGTATATTCCCTTCAATTGTAGCAGATGCTAAGTACTTCGCTGAATTGCAGATCACAGCATTTCTTTGGATGAAGCCAAGGCAATTTAAGCAGTAGCAAAGTGATAAAACTCTACAGAGCAGACACACCTTTGGTCTTTGTGTTTAAATTCTAGGCATTGAGCTGTCTACTCAGGTCATTACTATTTTTGAAGCAATTGTCAGTCTATCCATATATCAGATTCATAGGGATATTTCAGAACGAAGGAACATTTTCAGATCTCTGAATACCTTTTGATGCAAATAAACTACAGTATATTCAAGGTAGTCAGTCAGTCAGTGTTGAGTTTGCATCTTCTCCATTTTGGCCAGGTGTAACTGGGATTGAAGACCGGTTGCAAGATGGAGTGCCAGATACCATCGCTGCTTTCAGAGAGGCTGGTATCCAGACATGGGTGCTGACTGGAGATAAGCAGGAAACAGCTGTCAACATTGCTTATGCCTGCAAACTTCTTAACCAAAGAGACACTGTCTTTACCATTAATACCGAATGTAAGGTGAGTCTTAACAGTCTCCAAGGACTGTATGATATCCTGGGTAACTATTTGTTTTAACACCACATGAATGGTGTAAAACATGAGTCGTGGAAGTGCTTTGGCCATCATTGGTTTTCAGTTATGTTATTTCCAATATCATTATTTTCCAGGGGACTGGAAACCAAGCACTATGAGGAAAGACAGAAAGAAATAAGCATGTCTGGCCATGAGAAAAGAACACTGAGGGGAGATATGATAGCACTTTCCATATACTTGAAAGACTGTCATACATAGGAGGGGCAGGATCTGTTCTCGATCATCCCAGAGTGCAGGATACATAATAATGGGCTCAAGTTACAGGAAGCCAGATTTAGGCTGAATATCAGAAAAAAACATGTTAACTGTTAGAGCAGTACAACAATGAAAACAATTATATCAGAAGGTAGTGAATGCTCCAATGGGTGCCTCCAGAGAAATTTGGACACCCATCTGTCAGATCTGCTTTGATTTACATTCCTGCATTGAGCAGGGGGTTGGAATTGATGCCTTATACATGCCTTCCAACTCAATTATTCTATGATTATTTTAAAAAGTAATATAAATATTATCATGGATGACATTACTTTTTCAATGTGATTAGTAGTGTTTACTTGTTTATCAAAAAACATTGCTTTTTCTGAATCATGGGGAGGAAAGAAACCATGTTTTGGATTTTAAGTGTATTTTTATTTTAAAATTTTATTTTTATAACAACAACAATAATAAAACTCTTAGAATTGCAGAGCCAGAAGGGACCCAATGGATCATCAAGTCCGGTCCCTGCCAGGGAGGCACTGTGGAGAATCAAACTCCCAGCCTCTGACTCTACAGATAGATACCTAAATCAGTTCCAAAAGTAACAAAAAAGAAATGGATTAGTAACATGCTACATTAGTGGCAATAATGAGTTATGTCCACAAAGAGGAGCAGTGTAAGAAACTCCTTTAAAAAAAATAATACTTTAAAATAATCAGATCTTTTGGAGCATTGAAAGGAAACTTGACTGCCACTAACAATGCTTACGGTATATGGGCTACCTATATATTGGTACAGTATGTACTATAGTTTATAAAAATAGCTTGTTATTTTTAATGACAAATGTTTGCTGAAGTCATTTGGTAGAAGGTTTCTATAAGATGAATCTCAACTGTGCCCCTTCTCTTTATGGTGGCCAAATACAGTGGAGGAGAGTGGGCTCAATACTATGTTACCAAAGAACAGTTTAACAGTGGAATAACTCCCATGCTTGCTTATAGGACAATGTCGCATTGAGATTTATTGTCTTCTTACAGGAAACCTGTGAATCACTCTTGGATATCACACTGGAAGAAGTGAAGAAAGCTGAAGTTGTTCGAGGGACAAAGCGGCATCGTTTCAGCATTCAGCTGCCCTTTTCTTTGTCAAGTGCAGTGACTCCGAATCCCACAATTGGAGTGGTGCTTGATGGAAGAACTCTGAACACCATTTTCCAGGGACAACTGGAACATAAGTTTCTCGAACTAACCAAGTACAGCCGGTCAGTTTTGTGTTGCCGATGCACCCCCTTACAAAAAAGCATGGTGGTCAAGCTTGTGCGGAGTCAGCTGAAAGTTATGACACTGGCAGTCGGTGAGTACTAGACACACACACACACACACACACACACACACACACTGTATTTGGACAAACGTGTGACAGTGGACTGTATTAGGGGCAGTTGTGCAGGATCAAAGCAACTACAGGGTGGAATAAGGAGCTGCCCTTCCCTCCCAGGGCAGAACCACACCACAACAAAGCTGTTTTACCAACCACTGCACAGAGCTGTAGGATGAAGAGAAAAACTTGTGTTGCTGTTTAGATAGCCTTTTTGCATTCTGGATTGTTGTTGTTTTTATTTTCTCTCACACCGATTTACTTACTAAACTTTACTAAAATGTTATACAGGTAGGATTGAGTGTTGGGGATGATTATTGAATAGGCTTTCAGCACATATTGTTTTGTCTGTGTGCTGTCATGTCAAATCTGACATATGGCGACTCTTTTCAAGGTTTGCCAGATAGAGAATACTCAAAAAATTGTTTAACATTCCTTTCTTCTGGGGATATCCTGGGACTGTGCAGCTTGCCCAAGGCTACACAGGCTGGCTCTACTCACAGGAGGCACAGTGGGCACTTGAACGCTCAACATCTGGCCCTGCAGCCAGATACCTAAGCTACTTAGCTATCCAGTGAATACGTCACACAATTAGAGCACTGTGTAGGCTCCCCACCCCCCGTAGCTGCTTGCCCCACTTCACACAAAAAAATTCCCCATGAAGATACAGAAATGCACACATGTCATGGATCCAGGAATGGAACAGATCAGAATGTGTCCTAAAGAGTGCAGCAGTATGGATCATCCTTGATTCATCCTGGTCTGCCATATTTGGCTTAATCTCAGTTAAATGTTAGATTTAGACAATTATTAAGTTAAAAATTAGATCATGAGAAATCAACTTGTTGAGGCAAATTTTTAAAACTGTAAACATTTAACTTGTTAAATTACTAGAATTATAACTTACATATTAACTTACATATTAAATCAGTTCACTCTGCAGACATTACTCACACCCTCCCTCTATCCTGGAAAAATACCTATTTCTCTTTTTTTAAACTGGATTTACAATAGACAGCCTAACTTTGAGAATATGAATAAAATTAGACAACAGTGCCCCGAAACCTTAGGAAAATAACTTTTTGGGTGAGAGGAATACAGTATAAGACCTTTGGAAGAATCAAATTAAAAGTTGCTGCACTTTAAAAAGCTGATTAGTTACTCCTAATATTGTATGTATTGTACATTAGCATAGCACTATAAAAAGCTTTGTCTAAAAAATACAATGCTATAACATTTTTTATTTTCTCATCATAAGATTTTCAAGGTATGGTATACAACAGGGATATTTCATTGCCTCCTTCTGCACAGTATTCACAAGAGTTAGCTTGAGTTCCACAGCAAACCTCTACCATTGTTGTCTTCCACTATAGGGGCTGCCCAGTAACTTCCCTTCAGAATTTTCTCTGTCACGTCACCATTGGAACTATCAATATCATCTGCTGATGTGACTCTTAATCCTGAAGAGGATGAATGTGCCTTATTCTGGTGCCTCAGCTTTTTGTAAAAGAATCTAGCATGTTCTCAGTTTCCCTGACATAGTCAAACCCCTCATTGCATTAAGGTAAGCCTAAAGGAAGCCACAGCCTTGAGTTTATTAAGGTTTTGCAAGATTATTAATTACAATACCATCTGGAGGTCACTAATGCATAGTGTCACATATCTCATAAATGACTTTATAGCGCAGAGCAACAACACAGCCCTGTTAAGCCATACTTTCAAAAGCAGCTGGCCTGTCTGGTATCAAACTCCTACTGAACCCTTTCCTCCTGCAGCCAAAACTAGTCAACCAAACTGCCCAATGAATGAAAAAAAATATTGACTTGAGTCTCCTGTGGATAATGTTGAAAAGAACCACTATCCAGCAGCTGTTGCACAAGAGAAAATGGATGATTTGCAAGCCCTTTCCCCTAAAGGTCTCTATACACAGGAAAGGTCCAAGGTACTGCTGAAGACCTAGTTGAGCTGCTCAGCGCATAGGTGCCTGCAAATCTGCCTATTGAGCACAAATGAGTGATTAATGAACCTGGGAAAAATAAAATCTCTGTTGACACAAGGAGAGGCTCTTTTTCTTACTGCTGAGCCTGTGTTGTCAAACTGGTGAACGTAAACAGCTGAGTTGTATGTGCTCAGTGCCACAGCCTGCTGCAAATGTAAAACAGCCTCTCTTTGCACCAACTGAAGTTTGGTTCTTTTTCATTTTCGTTTTTCATATTCATTACCATTTCATGGTACACCGTGTGTAGTCGTGGATAATGTGACAGACTAGGACTCTGGAATCCAGAGTTCAAATCCCTACTTGGCCATGGAAACTCACTGGGGGAGAGGAACTGTAAAAACCACTTGTTAAACGTCTCACCTAAAGCACTATTAAGGTTGCTATAAGTTGGTTCTGACTTGATGGCACATAACTAACTGTAAAAGTTTAAGCTGGCTAGATTGCTTAACCAGCTAGATCTCTGGAGCCAGACGTTAGGAGTTCTATTCTCCATTGTGCCTCCAGGGAGAAAAACCTGCCTGTGTCAGCTAGATCTCTGGAGCCAGAAGTTAGGAGTTCTATTCTCCACTGTGCCTGCCTGTGCGGCCTTGGGCAAGCTTCATCACTTCCAGGATGCCCCCAGAAGAAGGGAATGGCCTTGGGCAAGCTTCATCATTTCCAGGATGCCCCCAGAAGAAGGGAATGATAAACTACTTCTGACTGTTCTCTTCCTAGAAAATCCTGGAAAGCATCACCATAAGTCAGAATTTCTGTTCTCTTCCTAGAAAACCCTGGAAAGCATCACCATAAGTCAGAATTTACTTAATGGCACATCGTTATTACTACTACTGTTGCTGTCATCGTTGTCGTTGTCATTGTTATCTTTATTACTACTGCTGCTGCTGTCATCGTTGTCGTTGTCATTGTTATCATCATCACCAATCAATGATTTCATTTTGTGTTTCATCTTTAATGAATAAAACTTGTTAATACTATTTTTTAAAAAAAAATTGAACATTCAATTTTTAGCACCTTTTTCTGATATTCCTCCACAGTGTAACAAATTTCATTTTAAAACGTTGTTTCCAAGCTCTAGTCTTAAAAAACACGTATGAAGAGAAATCAAATTAGAAATCCTGGATATCTGGTTGCATTATCAATTCACTCTTACCATCAAAATGTTTCTCCTAATGTTCAAAGAAAAATCTGCTCTCATCTTACTTAAGGCTGTCAGATCTAGCACTATTTTCAGTATTTGAATGGTCGTCGTTGTTTAGTCATTTAGTCGTGTCCGACTCTTCGTGACCCCATGGACCAGCGCACGCCAGGCCCTCCTATCTTCCACTGCCTCCCGGAGTTGTGTCAAATTCATGTTGGTTGCTTCGCAGACACTGTCCAGCCATCTCATCCTCGGTCATCCCCTTCTCCTCTTGCCGTCACACTTTCCTAACATCAAGGTTTTTTCCAAGGAGTCTTTTCTTCTCATGAGATGGTATTCGCTCTCTTTCTTTCTATCTCTTCCTCTCTCTCTCTCTCTCTCTCGCTCTCTCTCTCTCTCGCTCTCTCTCTCTCTCGCTCTCTCTCTCTCTCGCTCTCTCTCTCTCTCGCTCTCTCTCTCTCTCGCTCTCTCTCTCTCTCACACACACACACACAGAGCTATCTGCTCTTGTCCAATCTAAACGTGTTCAGCACTTTATAGCACTTATTTTCCTCATCACTGACTATCTTCATTGCCTTTCTCTGAACCTGTTCCAAATCGTTTACTTCCCCCTTAAAGTGTTCCTAGAAATGAACACACTATTCCACACTAGATCTAAGTAGTGCAAAATGAAATGGAACCATTCTTGCTCCTGACCTGAAAACTAGCATAGCGTATAATAAGATTGCATTCTTATGGTCTGGCTCCAGTTCTCAATACATATGTTCTGGGAAGGTCTGCAGTGTGGTCTCCATGATTATCCATCAGTGTCTGTAACACATAGATGAAGTCTGACCTACATATTCAGAAGGAAGAGGGAAATATGCTCTATAGCCCTTCCTGCTAGAACTTTGCCCCTTCATAATGTAGGTAAAAATTTGCAGGTCTGAATGTTGCTTCTCAGAAAAATGTCCTATACTTAGAAAAAGAGTATATCACGGAGAATGGAAAACTGGAAATAATTTTCCTGCTGTATTACTGTAGTTCTCCATAGGCTGGAATATGTTTATATGACAGAACATTCCTTCAGATGAAACATTTCAGAGTCCAGAAAGATTACGTATTTGTACTCGTTGCTCAATGGCTGAAATACAACACAATATTATGTATGTGTAAAACAGACATCACCCATTCAACCCCTTTTGTTAATATTACTTAACCTCCCACCTAGAGATGGGAAGGCTGGGGGGGGGACAGAAAAAGGGGGGAGACAGGGTTTTTTCCCTTTTTATCCAAAGCTATTTTTGTTTGTTTTTTCCTGAAAACTTGGGGGGGATGGAGTGTGGAATATGTTCATTATGGTATTCAAACTATACAACTATATGAAGACCTAATGAAAAACATTGGAGACTTTATGTGTTTAAGTTCTCTCTAGAGATGTAAAGTTTCTGAAAATGTCTATTTTTTCTGGGGAAAAACAGGAGAAAAAGTTTTTTCCAAAAAAAAAAAAATTTCAGAAATTTTACATCTCTAGTCCCACCTATGGCTGAATTCATTCTTCTGTTGTTTTCAATTATAGTAAGCTGCCTTGAGCACTACTTAGTAGTGAAAAACTGGGTAGAAATGTAATATAATGGAATGTAATTAATTAATCTTAAAAGCAGCAGTAGTAGTTGATGATGGTGGTGGTGGTGATGATGGTTATTATTGTGTTAAAGCAGTACCAGTTTTCATATCAAATTTCAAAGTATAATGGAATGTTTAAATTGCTGAGTATCCAGCATGGCATAGTGGTTAGGGTGACAGACTAGGTCTCAGGAGACCCGGGTTCAAATCCCTGCTTGGATGTCAAAAAACACTGGGTGGATTGAATTCATAAAATTACTCCTTAAATATCTCACTTACTTTAAAAGGTCATTTTAAAGTTGCTATAAGTCAATTCTGACGTGATGGCACACAACACACACAATTTAAATTGGCCTATTCATTGGCCTGGAGTCAAGATCTGCCTGTAGAGAGGAGGGTTACACTCATGGAATAGGCCTTTACCCACTTTTCAGGAAACTTCCCTCCAGAGCTCACCCCATTTACTAGAGTCCTTTGACTCTCTGTGTAGCATGTTCACCAGGGGAAGGCTGCAGGAAAGAAGAAGCAGTAAGCCCAGGTGGACATGCCTAATTGTGGATCCAAGCTACCTTTCAAAACAAGAGACAGACAGACAGATAAATGGACATTACTGGTGTTACTGCAAATCCATAACTTTATATAGATATTTCAGCTAGTTTTCAAAGAATACTGGAACTAGATTTGTGAGCTCAAGGAAATCAATCCATGGTCATTTATTTTCTCAAGCAGTAGCCCTACCACCACCACCACCACTATCTCCCAAGCAATCTAACAAACTGCTTTCAAAACCAAGAGGAATGGGGCAGCGCATTGTGACAGGAGGGCCAACTGTTCAAAGCCAGATGGCATGTGAAGAATTCCATTGGACCAATTCAAGCTTCTCGTGTGAACTAAAGCTGTTCTTTTTGTTCTGGCCTTTTACTTTAATCAGAACTGCACTTCAAATTGAGAAAAGTGCCAGACTAACCCTTCTGTTCATTTAAAAACCATTTTAACCTCTACAACTTTACTGGTTCTTTAGGTGATGGGGCAAATGATGTAAGTATGATTCAGGCAGCTGATGTTGGAATTGGCATTTCTGGACAAGAAGGTATGCAGGTACGTATAATAATGGACACGTATTCTTTTTCACTTGGCAACTACTGCTAAGGCATTTTTAATTCATATTCAGAATTTACAGGAGGCTGTATTCTATATGGCTGTGTGATCCTTTCATACCATCAGGGTCCAAGGTTGAGCAATACTTTTAGTGGATCACTTTTTAAAATTTACAAACAAAACTTCTGAATTCTCCAGAACTCTTCCTCAGAGAAAGATGGTATGGAACCTGGGGCTAAGGTAAATCATCCAAAATTTGGGCCAGACGCAGTGCCCATGTCTCATGAAGCCCACCTGCCAACAAGGCAAAATAGAGCTTAGATTCCACGTGAGACAAAGGTGACAAAGGTAATTCATTTAACAGTTCCTCCCCTCTCTGCAAACAAAAAGTTCCCCTGGCAACAGCTCTGCCACTTATCTTAGAGGAGGCACACAATTCTCTTTTTCGACTTAGAGCAGAAAGACATGAAGCAAGGTCCCAGGCTTCACATCTGCCACATAGGAGAATACCTTTTGATATCAAAGAATCCATCCCAGCCAAATTGGCAATCCTACCTCCAGTAAACTGAAAGAAACTGAATCTTCATAAAAGTTCAGTCTCACGGAAAGGCCTCTTCCAATGCCAGCAGAATTCTTTCCAGGCAACCAATCATGGCATCATCACACACAAAAAATGTCTAAGTGATCCTTTCATGGAAGCAAAGTCCAACGTTAGGTTATACCTTTATTGGGTCACCAAGAACTTTCAAATAAGATGAGTTTTCACATTCTTCTAACATTTTAGGGATTCAGGAAAGACAATCTTTTGAATTCTGTAATAGATAAGGAAACTGTTCTGAGCTGATAATGGTTGACTGGAAGTTTCCTGTGATAGCTGAATGTCTGCTGCTGTTCACACAGAATGTTAAATTTTCTCAGGAAATTCTGGGGGAGAAAGTCTATGCAGCATCTCAAATCACTACAGTTCTCACTGAGATCATGTGTCAGTAACCCTCATCAATCACTAACACTGTCTTCTTCCCTTCCGCTTTTTAAAAAATTATCAAGTGACATAACACTGAATTGATAAGCAGTACATAATATGTTTGTACAGCAAGAACATTCCCCTCAAATAAGTTCCTCTTGTCTCTCCTCCAAACAAGTTTCATTATGCTTTTTCACTATAGCGCTATGTCAGATATGCATTGCAGTTTCACAAGTTATGTCAGTTTGGTGCTATACGACTTGCCAAAATATGTTTTTAAAAAAGAACATCCCACCATCAACATGACCTCAAGATACACTCACCACAAGTCCATTGGGCTGATACAGGTGATCAATACGAGAAAGTTAAAAAGAGAGAAAGAGAGAGAGAGCAAAACAAGTAGGATCACTACAAAATAACACTAGCCCATACTGGCTGAATGAAAAGCAACAACTCATATAAAAAAGGACTAAGCTTACTCAGAATTAGTTGTACATCATGGAGTCACTAGAAGATACAGTACATCATATTTAATGATGCAAGTCCAGCACAAGCCTTGGAATGAACTGCAGTGTAGTCACACCCTAACTTTCTATGGAGCTATTAGAAGTAGTATTGGAAGGATTGATTTAAAAAACTGTGGGGGATTATGAGAGCCACGGTGTAAAACATCTGCAGGGCTGGAGGGTTCCCACCTTTATCCTATATTCTTGTTTCAATTATTTATTTAAGATTCAGCTATTCTTTATACCAATGTCCAACAGCTGGTGGCAGTTTTCTGCCTTGCTTATTAACACAAGCATCACTTTATCACATGTAGAAAATCAATGCTGAGTCATAGCTTTGTGACAAACCAAAGCCCAAGGGTGGGTTGAGATTTAAATCCAAGTCACTCTTAAATCCAGTAGACTCCACACAGGACTGTACTGATTGTTATAAGCTATCAAAAAAAGAGCCACCATCCAGTATTTTCCTTAAGTGTCCAATATTTCTAAAACTGCTCTTACATCTGACCAGTCACTATTCGTGTCACTTTAGCATGGATGAAACTGTTCTGCTGGACTTGGAAAAGTAGGTAGTTAAAATTTCATATCAAAAACTATAGCAGGTTTTAAAATTAAATGACCAGATTAGAAGTACATCGTATTCTTAGCTTTTACCATGCTGGTTGGTATATGACTGTCTTTGGTCTACTCAGGGCCAGCTGAGAAATAAATGATTTCTTTTTCTTATTGGGTTTTTTGTTTTGTTTTGTTTTGTTTTTTGCCCTAGGCTGTCATGGCCAGTGATTTTGCCGTATCTCAGTTTAAGCACCTCAAAAAGCTACTTCTAGTCCATGGACACTGGTGCTATTCTCGCTTGGGGAAGATGGTGATCTACTTCTTCTACAAAAATGTGGTAAGTTTAAACTTCATTTTCAGTGCCTCCGTGCCAAGCTTTTCTTTCATAGCCACAGATAATGAGGACAATGATCATGTAGGTTCTACCTGATTAGGTAATCCATACCAGACAGCTAACAAGTTCCAAAAATATTACACAGTACATTCTATAAAATTGCAATTAGAACCTTAAAGGATGATTCAGAAAAGAAAGATGAAAGCTGATTGACCCTTAAATTTGCTAAAGAGGTTCATTCCTTTTTCTCTGAAAGCCAAAAAAAACCTATTTGTATTCAATAAGTCCCTGTTTTCTTTTTTGTTTTTTTTTTTAAGTGCTGGTAGAACCTTGGCTATGTTTCTGCATACAGAATGGTAAATTATCACTATTCAAAATGGGAGTTGGCTTCCACTTAGGCTATAAAGCCAGCCAAGATACTTAATTTGATGAGAGCCACATGCTACCAATTGCCAATGACAGTAATCAGCTTTAGCAATATTATGGGAAGCTCCATTACGCACCTCCATTCCCATGTAATATGTTCCCATTATGGACTTATGGAAACATTAGGCCTTTTTTAAGATCCAAAACTAGGCTCTGACAAAGAATGAAAAAGAAGCCGCTCTTCACAGGGAAACTTGTAAGATGTGTCATCTTAGTGAACTTCATTTCCATTCCACATCTTGCCCCATGGCCATCCTCCCAATTAATTTATTTTTATTTTTTGCTTCTGGTATTTTTTTTTAGATATCGCTAATGTTGGGTTTAATTCAGGAAATAATTCCTCCCCCACCACCCACATTTCTGATCTGCACAAATATAGATATTTCATTCAAATCATCTGGTGGCAGGAAATAGGCTTTTGCCCTCTCATGTGGGGCTTTTGATGAACAGATGTAATTAAAACGTGCCATTGTGGGTTGCAGTCTGCCATTTCTTCCCATCAGGATGCATAATACTTTTTAGATACAGTGGCGATTGAGAGCATGCAGCCCTCCAAATATTGTCAGATTGCAGTTTCCACCAGCCGTAGCCTATAGAGCCAATAGTAAAGGATGCTGGGTTTACAGTTCAACAGTACCTAGAGATCACAGTGGCTCAGGTGCCCTGGCACAGAGGCTTTCCACAAACTGGGGATGGTCTCTTCCATGCTAGATAAGCATGAGAGCGATTCTCTCCCCCTTCCCCATGTACAAGTTTGATTTTTCTCTCTGACATTTCTCCCAAAGAGGCATTGAATTAAAAAAATATTTATAGTAGAGGTTTTCCTGGACTGACTTTGTAATATGCATAATACGGATACATAGCATCAAATAACTACAAGAAAAACAAAACTAATTTGAAGTTATGAAAGCAACCTATGAGTTTGAATAGCAAAGAGATGATTATTAGGGAAGTGCACTGGAGAAAGTTTCAAGTTTGATTCATTTTGCATCCTGGTCCTTTTATTAAAAACAAAACGAAAGCTTATTCGGGGTTTTGCGTTTTGTCTTCCTCGTTCATATTTTTTTTCCTGTCCCCTAATAAGTAAGCCATAAAAAACACACTCATGCATTACGTCATGCTAGCCTTGGACTGTTCTCATGCTGGAGTAGAACTGGAATGGTTTTGTGTCAGAAGAGGAGGAGGAGGGTCTCCTGATGCAATCTAGTCAGATTAGAAAGGAAAGAGCAAAAGTAGGTTGGATGGTTTTGAGGTAGGAGGGAAAGAAGGGAAGAAAGAGAGGGACTAAGAGATCTCTGATTGATCAAAGCAGCCCTCCAGACCAATAAACAGCATGTTTATGCATGTGGATTCTGGCTGAGCTCCATGCAGATCACTGCCAAGGAGAACCACCTCAGCTGCTGGTACACTGTGACTCTCCTCATCCTCTCCGCAGACAAAGCTCCACAGGCTGACCCTGGCTAGGGACTGCCAGCAGTGGTGTAAAAGCCCAGATCTTCCCTTTGCTTCTCTTCTACTACTACTCCTGGAGTCCTGGTTCCACCATCTTCCCTTTTATTCCCAGCCGCTTTTTCTCAGGCAGAGCCCTGGTGACCTCTGCCCAGCTTGGCCCTGGCACTCCTCTTTCTCCAAAATGATTCCTTGTTGCCACCACTGCTGGCATAGATGATGAACAGCAGCGATTCTCCCCAGTACTTTCAGGAAGGTTCAAAGTCACTTCACAATGACTTTGGTTGTTTCACATGATGCAAGCCTCGGTGTGGTTTTTAAAATTGTGCATTAACTGCATTTTTAAACTGCACCAGGGCTTCTATCCTGACTAGCCAGTGATGGGAGGCTTCTCAGGTACTGACAGCACTGAGTCAGGACTCAACGTGCAGCAAAATCAGAGCCAGTGGAGCTACCCCTCAGCCAAGAACTATTTCACTGCCCAGCCACTGCTGGGGGTTTCCTCGGCCACCTCAGCACTGGCTGTCTGGCAGCGTTCTTTTTGCTGGGGTAGAGGCAGCTTTTTTTTCCTCCACATAGCAAGTGTGCAAGGGTGCCCTAACCTCAGCACTGTCAATAGTAGTGGGAAGCCCCCTGCCCAGCGCTGGCCAGTCTGCAGGCCAGGGGCTGCTCCATGTCCTATTTTTACTGTGAGGATTTGCATTAAAGCAAAACTTGTGAAACAGGTAGTTTCACGCCTATTTTTCGGATCACCTGCAGTTAAAAAAAATTACAGTGAGTTATCTAAAATATGTTGCTCCTGTCTGGGTGCTGGCAGGAAGAGCAAATCATCATGGGTCTAGGCTTGTATCCCATGAGGAGGAGAAAATGATTCTTCTACCACCACCCAGAAAAGATTCTAGACTAGGCAGGGGAGAGAAGCTTTTGCTGGGACCACCAACAGACACATGCAAAACTGCTCCCATGGGATCAAGAAGCTTGGCTTGGCTTTTACACAGCCCAGACTTCTTCTCTCTGTTCCTCTTATCCATTTCTTTAAGAAAAAGGGCAGTGGGGGGGAGAGATCCAGCGGAAAAAGGGCTGGGGCAAGGTCCCTTTGCAGCCTTCCGAATTTCTGCTCCTCTCTCCTTGACCTTCTAATTGGCTGCTGGCAACAGCCCTCACAACCTTAATGACTAGTTGCTGTTTTCTTCCTGGGCTATGGGACAGATAAAGGGTGAAAGAAATGTTTAACAAAAGAGAGAATTATGAAAAACATGGATTTTTTGTGTTCCTCTCATTTAAATTACTCCTTTATATTTAAGTAGTTCACTTTTTTGGAATAAGAAAGAACACAAAAGTTAAAATGAGATACTCTTTTGTGTTTATTCCCTTTTGTTTTCAAACACAAACCCTGCCCCTAGTGACTACTGGCCCATTTGGTACACTGAGACTAATTACAGATGGCAAACAAATTCTTGTTACTGAATCCTAAACCTTGTAACAGTGATGATGGTGTCACTGAAACCAATGAAGCTTCAGTCGCAACATACTAAAGACTCATTCATTTCAATGGGTCTGCTGCTTCCAACAGGACTACTTCTCCATCTGGGTGAATGTTTTTGGAGTTAAAAAAATTAGCTTCAGGTGAGGAAAATTTTATGAGAAGAATGCTGCTTCGCTGGTCTACACCACAACAACAGTTCTTATCTTATCTAAAAGAGCCTCGTGGCGCAGTGGTTGTTTTTGGAGTTAAAAAAATTAGCTTCAGGTGAGGAAAATTTTATGAGGAGAGTTCTGCTTCGTTGGTCTACACCACAACAGCAGTTCTTATCTATATGGAATTCCAGAAAGCTAGGGCAAACACATTATTAGAATGTTGTAGTTGAAGGCAAGGCAGAGAAATGTAGCAGAGAAAGAAAGGAACGAGTAATCCTTTCCCCAAAAGCTTTTTTACTTGGCTCCCAAGAGCTCATAATCTGCATTCAACTCTTTTATCTAAGGACATGTGGATGCAGATGCAATGAAGGACATATACAAACAATGAAAATATATCACCTTCTAACATTTTCCCACCAGGCCTATGTCAATCTGCTCTTCTGGTACCAGTTCTTCTGCGCTTTCTCTGGAACCTCCATGATAGACTACTGGCAAATGATTTTCTTCAACCTGTTTTTCACTTCTGTGCCACCAATAATTTCAGGAGTCCTGGATAAAGACATTTCTGCAGAGACCCTGTTAAGCTTGCCTGAACTTTACAAGAGTGGACAAAACTCAGAGGTACACCCTACTTGCTCAAGTATGATTTGTGGGTTCTTATAAATCTTTCGTTTGGTGTCACAAAAGTAAATGATTGCCACCATGAGTAATGCTCAGACACCAAGGAAGCTTATAGTACTATCAATGCTATTTGAGTTTCTTCCTAGGGTTTGGGGAAGAAGGGCAGGCACAAGCTGCTTAATTATTTCCTGAATGGAAATTTCCTTTTCTAGCTCAGAATCCCCCTCCTCAAATTGCTGTGGCCATTTGGTGAAACCGTTTCCTCTCATTCCTCATTTCATGCTTCTGAAAAGGAAGCTTGAGAAGGATTGTTCTGAGCTGAGAAGGGAGCTCCCAAGATGGAAAAAAAGCTGAACAGCCTCTCTTTCTCTACTTTTTCCCCAACCTTGGATCACCAGATATTCTTGGACTACAATTATCAGAAGTCCTTGCCAGCACAGCTGTGGTGAAGGCTTCTGGGAGTTGCAGTCCAAGAACATATGGGGACCCAAGGCTGGGAACCCACTGCTCTAGACCACTGGTTCTTAACCTTGGGTTACTCAGGTGTTTTTGAACTGCAACTCCCAGAAACCCCAGCCAGCAGAGTACTGGTTCTTAACCTTTGTTACTCAGATGTTTTTGCACTGCAACTCCCAGAAGGCTTCACCAGGCTTCTGGGAGTTGCAGTGCAAAAACATTTGAGTAACAAAGGTTAAGAACCAATGCTCTAGACCACTGGTTCTTAACCTTGGGTTATTCAGATGTTTTTTGGACTGCAACTCCCAGAAGCCTTCACCACCAACTGTGCTGGCTGGGGTTTCTGGGAGTTGCAGTTCAAAAACATCCGAGTAACAAAGGTTAAGAACCACTGCTCTAGACTATAATGCAGACTTCCTCAACTTGTACCATTCAGAGGTGCTGAACATCAAGCCCTATAATAAGATATTTGGAGGGTGATGAAGGTTGCTGTATAATCCTTCTAGAAGGACCAAACAGAGGCTCTTTTAATGTACACTGTTTGCAGCATAAACATATCCAGTCAGTTGCAATAGGAAAAGAAATGCAGTAAGCTGTAATGATACTAAGAAAAAGAAGGAATCAGCATGAGCATGTTAAGAAAAAGTCATGACATACATACACTCCAGTTTAAGTATCTCAGAAGGACCTTAACTTTATTTATTTATTTATTTATTTATGTATGTATTTATGTATTTATTCATTCATTCATTCATTCATTCATTCATTCATTCATTCATTCATTCATTCATTCATTCATTCATTCATTTGATTTATTTGATTTATACCCTGCCCATCTGGACTACCAGACCACTCTAGGTGGCTTCCAATACAAAATCAAACAATAAAACACAGGTAGGTACGTGACAATTCAGTAAGAAATGCAGTAAGTTGTAATGATATTAAGAAAAATAAGGAATCAGCATGAGCATGTTGAGAAAAAATCATGACATACATACACTCCAGTTTAAGTATCTCAGAAGGACCTTAACTTTATTTATTTATTTATTTATTTATGTATGTATTTATGTATTTATTCATTCATTCATTCATTCATTCATTCATTCATTCATTCATTCATTCATTCATTCATTCATTCATTCATTTGATTTATTTGATTTATACCCTGCCGGCAGCCAATGCAATGCGGCCAGCGTTGGAGAAATGTGTTGGTATTTTCTCACTCCCGTGAGGAGTCTGGCCACTGCATTCTACACCACCTGAAGTTTCCGCATCAACCTCAAAGGCAGCCCCACGCAGAGCGCGTTACAGCCCCATGTAGAGCGTGTTACAATCTCAGGATTACAGTCTAATCTTGAGATTACAAGCGCATGCACCAAGGTAGTGAGCGCCCCCGTGTCGAGGTAGGGTCGCAACCAGGCAATCCGCCAAAGATAGAAAAGGCGGTGCGGACTACCGACGCCGCCTGCATTTCCATGGTGAGCACCGGGTCCAAATGTATGCCCAGGCTGCGGACCTCACTCTTCACGGCCCAGGTGACCCCCCCAATGTGAGAGAGTCACCCAAACCGCCTACCACGGGGGCACCCCCCCCCAAGAACTTCCGTCTTGTCCGGGTTCAGCCTCAGCCCGTTCTCCTGCATCCATTGCAGTACGGCCCCCAGGCAGATGTCGAGGAGGACCAGCAGAGACATTTTCCCCCTGTCGGCCTCCCTCAGCAGGTCATCGTACAGGACGACCAATGGCATCTCTGTACGATGGCGCGGCCTGAAGCCCGACTGGAATGGATCCAGGACATCTGTCTCATCCAAGTGGGCTTGGAGCTGATCGGCCACCACCCTCTTGACCACTTTGCTCATGAAAGAAACATTGGCGACGGGCCTATAACTACCAATTTCGTCTGCCGCCAAACTAGGTTTCTTTCTTATGGGCCTAATAAGTGTCTCCTTGAGGGCAGATGGATTTCTTTTATTCTGAATGCAATTTTCCTATTCTTATTTTTTATGAATAGAGTAGTACTACTGGCATGAAAAGTTGTTTATTATTCTGATCCTCTTTATGTTGCAGCTGCCCCTTTTCAGTTAAGCTCAGCTACTAGCTTGTTGAAGGCCAACCGTTTCATTGTATGAGCAATTCATCCCACGTTTACCAGCTCCAAGGCCAGAAGCACTCTAATGCTAAGTCACCAGCAGGTTGTGAGCCAACCCTGCCAGAAAGATGGCTACAAATTAGACTCATGCTTCCCTTTGTGCTTGTCTTTTCATCCTCACAATTCTCCTGCCTCCTGGCTTCAGTGAGGAAGGGGAAATGGAGCCATTTCTGTTCTGGGCACTAAGTACTTAACTGCCATTTTAGAGCACACACACAAAAAAAGAATTTCACTGAAAAGTTTAACTCCATTGTTCAGTTTTTTTACCTTTGGATTGTTTAAATTCTCTCCTCCTCTGTTTATCTTTTGCTTATAAGAAAGCAGTCAGTCTTTAGTTTGAGATATCAGCTACATGTGACCATTTGTTGTTTAGTTGTTAAGTGGTGTCCAACTCTTCGTGATCCCATGGACCAGAGCACGCCAGGCCCTCCTGTCTTCCCTTGCCTCACGGAGCTTGGTCAAATTCATGTTGGTCGCTTCAATGACCCTGTCCAACCACCTTGTCCTCTGTCGTCCCCTTCTTCTCTTGCCCTCACACTTTCCCAACATCAGGGTCTTTTCCAGGGAGTCTTCTCATTAGATGACCAAAGTATTGGAGCCTCAGCTTCAGGATCTGTCCTTCCAGTGAGCACTCATGGTTGGTTTCCTTCAGAATTGATAGGTTTGATATCCTTGCAGTCCAGGGGACTCTCAAGAGTCTCCTCCAGCACCACAATTCAAAATCATCTATTCTTTGGCAGTCAGCCTTGTTTATGGTCCAGCTCTTGCTTCCATACATCACGACTGGAAAAACAATAGCTCTGACTATGTGGACCATTGTCAGCAAAGTGATGTCTCTGCTTTTTAAGATGCTGTCTAGGTTTGTCATCACTTTCCTCCCAAGAAGCAGGTATCTTTTAATTTCAAAGTGATGTCTCTGCTTTTTAAGATGCTGTCTAGGTTTGTCATCACTTTCCTCCCAAGAAGCAGGTATCTTTTAATTTCATGGCTGCTGTCACCATCTGCAGTGATCATGGAGCCCAAGAAAGTAAAATCTGTCACTGCCTCCATATCTTCCCATTCTATTTCCCAGGAGGTGATGGGACCAGTTGCCATGATCTTTTGTTTTGTTTTTTTTATGTTGAGCTTCATACCATTTTTATGCTCTCCTCTTTCACCTTCATTAAGAGGTTCTTTAATTCTTCCTCACTTTCTGCCATCAGAGTAGTATCATCTGCATATCGGAGGTTGTTGATACTTCTTCCAGCAATCTTAATACTGGTTTGGGATTCTTCCAGTCCGGCCTTTTGCATGATATATTCTGCATATAAGTTTAAAAAGCAGGGTGACAATATACAGCCTTGCCGTACTCCTTTCCCAATTTTGAACCAATCAGTGTTTCCATATCCAGTTCTAACTGTTGCTTCCTGTCCCACATACAGATTTCTCAGGAGATAGATAAAGTGGTCAGGCACCCCCATTTCTTTAAGGACTTGGCATAGTTTGCAGTGATCCATACAGTCAAAGGCTTTTGCATAGTTAATGAAGCAGAAGTAAATGTTTTTCTGGAACTCTCTGGCTTTCTCCATAATCCAGTCCATATTAGCAATTTGGTCTTTAGTTCCTCTGCCCCTTCAAAATCCAGCTTGTACTTCTGGGAGTTCTCAGTCCACATACTGCTGAAGCCTACCTTGTAGGATTTTGAGCATAACCTTGCTAGCGTGTGAAATGAGTGCAGTTGTACGGTAGTTGGAGCATTCTTTGGCACTGCCCTTCTTTGGTATTGGGATGTAGACTGATCTTTTCCAGTCCTCTGGCCACTGCTGAGTTTTCCAAACTTGCTGGCATATTGAATGTAGCACTTTAACAGCGTCATCTTTTAAGATTTTAAATACAGTAATTCCATTGGGATGCCATCATCTCAACTGGCCAATGTTATGAGCCTCCATCCACAGTTCTTCAGGCACTCTGTCCACCAAATCGAGTTCCTTAAATCTGTTTTTCACTTCCACTCTGTATTCATAAGGGATTTGGTTTAGATTATGACTATCCCGGTGGTTTTTCCTACTCTCTTCAGTTTAAGTTTGAATTTTGCTATGAGAAACTGATGATCAGAGCCACAATCAGCTCCAGGTCTTGTTTTTGCTGACTGTATAGAGCTTCTCCATCTTTGGCTGCAGAGAACATAATCAATCTGATTTCGGTATTGCCCATCTGGTGATGTCCATGTATAGAGTCGCCTCTTGTGTTGTTGGAAAAGAGTGTTTGTGATGACCAGCTTGTTCTCTTGACAAAACTCTATTAACCTTTGCCCTGCCTCATTTTGAACATTTTGGAGGCCAAACTTACCTGTTGTTCCTTTTATCTCTTGGCTCCCTACTTTAGCATTCCAGTCCCCTATAATGACAAGAATACCTTTCTTTGGGGTCAGTTCTAGAAGATGTTGTAAGTCTTCATATAATTGGTCAATTTCAGCCTCTTCAGCACTGGTGGTTGGTGCATAAACTTGGATTATTGTGATGTTGAAAGGTCTGCCTTGGATTCGTATTGAAATCATTCTATCATTTTTGAGATTGTATCCCACTACAGCTTTTCCCACTCTTTTGTTGACTATGAGGGCTACTCCATTCCTTCTGCGGGATTCTTGCCCACAATAGTAGATATGGTAATCATCTGAATTGAATTCACCCATTCCCATCCATTTCAGTTCACTGACGCCCAGGATGTCAATGTTTATTTGTACCATCTCCTGTTTGACCACATCCAGATTACCAAGGTTCATAGATCTTACATTCCAGGTTCCTATGCAGTATTTTTCTTTGCAGCATCGGACTTTCCTTTCACTTCCAGGCGTGTCCACAGCTGAGCATCCTTTCGGCTTTGGCCGAACCACTTCATTAGTTCTGGAGCTACTTGTACTTGTCCTCCACTCTTCCTCAGTAGCATGTTGGACACCTTTCAACCTGAGGGGCCCATCTTCCAGTGTCATATCTTTTAGCCTTTTGTTTCTGTTCATGGGGTTTTCTTGGCAAAGATACTGGAGTGGCTTGCCGGTTCCTGCTCCCGGTGGATTGCATTTAGTCGGAACTCTCCACTATGATCTGTCCGTCTTGCGTGTCCCTGCACAGCATATCCCATAGCTTCTCCGAATTACTCAAGCGCCTTCGCCACGACAAGGCAGAACTGGAGTGGAATTGCCGGTTCCCGCTCCAGGTGGATCGCGTTTAGTCGGAACTCTCCACTATGTCCCGTCCGTCTTGGGTGTCCCTGCACGGCATATCCCATAGCTTCTCTGAATTACTCAAGCCCCTTCGCCATGACAAGGCAGCAATCCGTGAAGGGGCATTTGACCATGGAGGTGTGCAAAGCAGGGTTTATAGAGTTTGCTTTCTGCCTGCCGCTATAGCTATGACACAAGCACCACAAAAGACACTGTCAATTACACTGCTTAGCTGTCCTGCCTCCTTTGGTCTCCTGGAGGAGAGAACTGGAAAACAGAGGGGAACTAAAGTAGGAACAGACTATGTAGAAATGGGAGTTCATATAAAGCCCCTCCTGTCTTCACAAAGGCTGCCATTGACCACCACCCACAAAGAGTGTGTGCAATTCTTTGGGATGGTAAATTTCAGAAAGTTTCGGAAGTAGCAATACTGAGTAATAGGCATAATTTAAAATATATAAATAACAGAAGAGAGTACTAAATAAAATAAAATAAAATAAAATACCATACCCTGACAGGCTCCACCATTAATTTATGTAGTGGAGATAAGATGGATGTCTTTCACCAACCACAGCTATACAGTGTCTAGAGCCACCATATAGTGAGTTACTGGTTGGTGTGCCAAGAAACTGTGTAGCCTTTGAACAGATCTTTTCTCTTTGTGCCATGATTTGCTACAGGTTTACAAGCCTCTGACATTTTGCATCGCCATTTTGGATGCCTTTTACCAGAGCCTCATCTGCTTCTTCATCCCTTACCTAGTAAGTATTTAAGGCATTCTGAGAGTGGCCCTTAGTGAAACCAAAAGTGCAGTCAACCAACATGCACTCAGTATACTTCTGATTCCTCCACAAATGTTATTTTCCAGGCATATCAAGATTCTGATATTGGTGTTTTCACCTTTGGGACAACAGTCAACACCGTCGCCCTCCTTACTATTCTCTTTCACCAAGCTTTAGAAATTCAGACATGGGTATGTATTGACACTGGCTTCTGCACCAGAAATACCTGGCTATCAGATGTCAACAGGGCTTATAGCCAACAGATTTCCATGTTTTATACACACAGGGGTTGTATATGCAGAGTTCTATGTCTCTTGCTCTGTGTGTGTGTGTGTGTGTGTGTGTTTGTTGGCTAGCTTGATCTTTTGTACAGTAATTTGCTGTACAAGTACAGTAATAGAAAACAGTTTAAGGTGTAAACTGCTCAAATACCAACATTTGGAGACAGCATAGAGCCTACCAAAAAAATAAATACATCCTTTCCACTGAGGTTGCTCAGTTTGAACTGTTTTTAAACTAATCATTTACTTACAGCTTTTAAACGATCATAGCTTCGTGCCTTTTCTATGACTTGTCTGTATATCAGTTCATACCCTATGAGAGATGTATACGTGCTACAGTGGATCTTTGACATACTGCAGCCCTCCTGCTCTCTTTTGAGCTGCTTTTGGACAAGTCAAACTGACAATCAACAAACATCCTCATTGCGGGTCCCCACTGCAGTTGTTGAATGCCACAGAGAATGCAGCAAACTGCTGAGGCTTGCTAGGAGCTTGAAGGCTTTGAGCAAAGTTGGCAAGAATCCTGAAGCTCAGGTTAACTGGATGACATTCACAGAATAAATAAACAGTTCAGAATTCATCAGAAAGGTAACGCTTCTGTAAACACTTTACAACATGGCTCAGAATTCAGGATTTAGCATACATTCAGCTTCAAATGAGGCCTCTAATAAAACGCAGCCAAAGCAAACTTCCTCTCCACCCCGTTTCATTTCCAGAGACTCTCACATCTCCAGAGTTCTTTGGAGAACCATGGCTCAAATACTGTACCTACAAAACTGAAGCTATATTTCATAAAAAACATATCAACATGAATTCTGAGGTTTTGGCTTTCCTCAGTGTAGATTTCATTGTTGTTTTTCACGGTTACTGCTATGGCATTTTGTTCACTGATGTATATACATGTGTACCAATACATTTGTGTGTATGTAATTTGACTGCTTCTGGACCAAGATTTACAATTATCCCTTTTTCCAGATACCTGCCCTGTGGCTACATCTGTGAAGCTTTTTTTGCCTTAATTTCTCTCGCTTCTGTTCCTAGACTTGGCTCCATGGGATCATCATGATGGGGAGCATTCTCCTTTACTTTATTTTCTCGCTCATCTACAATGCTTCCTGCATTGTCTGCAATCATCCAGCCAACCCCTACTGGATTACGGAGAAGGAACTCTCAGAACCAAGCTTCTATTTCATCTGCATCATTACACCAGTCACAGCACTTCTCCCAAGGTTTGGACACTTGGTTCATCACCACCACCACCCACATTCCAATCTCATTGGGAACTAAAATCTGGGGAGAGCAGATGACTTCCACAAGGGGTTAAGTGTGTCGGAAGGGCTTACCAGGGTGGCTGTTCCATGGGGCTGGCGTATTGAAAGCAAGGCCCCTGCTGCTGCTGCTGCTGCATGGTGCGTCATATGCATCAATGGATGATGCCTGCCCAGGCTGTAAATACCAGGCTGGCGTATTGAAAGCAAGGCCCCTGGTGCTGCTGTGTGGTGCGTCATATGCATCACTGGATGATGCCTGCCCAGGCTGTAAATACCAGTCCTGTTTGTAGGCATAGTGAAGTAGCTGCTTTAGGGAACAGGTTTTGAATGCCATGAAAGGGCTGTACATAGCTACGTATCTGCTGCCATCCCATTGTTGCTACTGCTGGGGACAGGTCTACTTGTGGCATTTTTCTGTCTCGTGTGCCCAAATAATTCGGCTGGCTTTGGGTCTTGTTCCCCTGTGGCTCGGGTAAAAGAAAGCAAGAATGACAAGCTCCTTCTTGTAGGGTGCCGGCATTGCAGTGCTCCCCCACCTACCATGCACAAGAATGACAAACAACGCTCCTTCTTGTAGGGTGCTGGCATTGCAGTGCTCCCCCACCTACCATGCTGACCAGACGGAGTTCTAGGCAGAGTTGCCCTTAGTGTGCTGTTTCTTTATCTTCCTCCGTCCCAATCTGGGGCTAGCTCAGTGATGGTGAACCTATGGCACACGTGCCACTGCTGGCATGCACTCGAGCCCTACTAAGTCACCATTGATAAATGACAATCCCAGATTTTGGGAAGAAGGGAGGGAGAGCCAAGACAGCAACGGCTGCCACACTACAAACACACACACACACCAGGTATGGAAACACCTGGCTCCTGCCACCTGCACCTTTAAGGACTGCATCCGAAGGCAAAACAGGGAGTGCCCCAGGCAGGTGCTGGAGGTTGTGCGGCCAGAGGAGGGGGACTCTTCGGGACAGTCGTGGTTGGTTTTGTGTTGCAGTTTGGGCACAAAGGTTCGCCATCACTGGGCTAGTTCCTTGTGATTTCCCTTCAGAAGGGAAAATTTAAATCCTTGACAGCCCACATCCTTTCATGTGCTCCCAATTTCTTTTTCTTTCTTTCTTTTTCCCCTCCCTCTCTCTTTTTATTCTGTAGGTTGGGGGAATCGAGTCTATATGTCTTTGCCAGAGTGTAAAAGGCTTTGCTGTTGTGCTGTGTAATACAGGTCTCTGAGAGGCAACCCTTAAGCATTTCCAAAAAAAAAAAAAAAAAAGCTTTCTGTGCTTTCCTCTTCAGTGCTGCACTAGGAATGCAACTAGCTGTCAGGACTCAAAACTTTTCCCAGACATCAAACAGGCCTTAGCTGATGTGTGAAGGTGCAGTATCTGCATCTCCATTTAGCACTGATCTCTGAAGGATTGAGAAGAAGAACCTCTTGTTCATCCTACTCGGGAAGCTTACAATTCATATATCCTACTTTACTCATCATAAACACACACTCATTTGAGGGCAAATTCACAAAAAGAAGGTTCAAGCTTGTTTCCATGGCATTCTGTTCCTTGGGGCTCGTTTCCTGTAAAAACAAAAATCAGCCCCCTTTGCTATGAAATAATTATCTAGACTTGAGTGCTATAGGAGCCTCAAAAGTATGAAGGTTGAACAGCTACCAGACAAAAACAATATGCGTTCCTTGACATCTCTCACCATTTTCCAACTGTATCCTGTGTACCCCAGGCTCCACCGATAAAAAGATGGTGCTTTGAGTGAATGGCTGTATTTGGGCTGTGAAGACAAACTGTAGTGTGTCATTGCAAGCAAACCTCAATCTCATATATTCCCCCTCCCATCTCTTCCTCCAGTGATGGCACAAAGCAATCAGAAGTTTTGACTTCCTTTTTAAGATAAAATGTTATTTATTTTACATACAAACCCAGACGAACTGCTAGAGTTTGTCATGACTATGGTTTACTGAAGTAAACCAACTTAAAACTTTAATTGATAAAGTCAACTTGTTTCAATAAATAGTTCTGGTTAACCAGAGTTTATGGAGTGCAGAAGTAACAGTAAACCAAGTTTAATTGAAAACAGAAGCAAAAACTTCCTAGCTCCTGCTGTCCATGTCAGAGAAAGGAGGGAGCATGTGAACACACACTTCATTCATATAATATTAATTTAATAGTAACAATAAATATGCATGTAACCAGTGAATTTTGGCGCTATCTGCCCAACCTGTCACCTTTCCAGGGACGAAGGGTGGATGTCATATGAAAGAGGTATATCAGCCTGAGCAGTTCCTTAAACAGAACCCAACCCATCCTTTTGCTAGGTACTGCAAAGGGTCAGAAAATTATATAATTAACTTTCTGAGGGAAACAGGAGGAGGAAGATCAGATATGATAGGCTGTCCCCTTCTCTTGCAACCTTCCAGAATCTATCATCTTCTGGGAAGCCAGGCAGGAATCTATGACAGCTGAAATCTAGTTCTTCTGAAGACTAGGAATTTGGTGCTGTTCATACCTGGAGGTGAACAACTGCTTGTGCCATCATTTACTTTCAGAGTTTATCTAACTCTTCTTACATGGCTATCCATCAAACCTGGAAGGGAATCTACTGGACTAGAGGCCATGAACGCAAGAGTTAAATTCTCTCTGATGGGGAGTTTAAAACCTACATAGGCAAGGCAGCACAAAATCTGGAAGCCATTTTATAAACTGCTTTTTATACAGATCGGCCAGCCACATGAGTGTAAGTAAATAATGTTACATTTCTAAAGGGATTTAGTGTTCCCACAGGCCTGGTCAATCTGTGCTGGAAACTAGTTCATAAGACTGTTAGCACCAGAAGACGAATTTCAGCAAAGCCTAGAGCTGTGATTTAATGAAAGCTAATGGATGGTTTCATTTCCAGTGCTGACCCATGGTATTAAAGCAAGAATCAAACAGTGCCTTTCCCAGCTACTCATTGCATGAAGAAAAACCTCCTTCCTGATTAGTCTTCACTTCCCAGCCCAAAGGTCTCCAGGGTGGGTTACCAAGCAGGTTCCCATCTAAATCACAAAAAGCAGTGTAGGAAATGTATTTGCCATGAGCCTTACTCCATCGCCCTCTTCCAAGAGATATCCTGCACTATGTGGATCAGCTGGCAGTCAGTGGAGAGGATCTCACCATCCTTGCTCTGGTCTGTTCTTGCAAATTTCTCCTTTCACATAGAGCCTGCAGTACTTAGAGCCATGCCTCTTAACAATCAGTCCCTTATCTAACCTGGCCTCCTATTATTCATATTTATCTCCTGCCTTTCCTCTGGAGAGCTCAAGTCATAACAGCTGGTTGTCTCTCCTGATCTCTTTTTTTTAAATTTTCTTTTTTACCCTCACAGCTGCCTGAAAGATAGCATTGGGTTCCAAATCACCTAGTGGCTGAGTGAGGACTTGAATCTGGAACTCTCTGGTCCTCCTTGGACAGTAGCCAGTGCAGCACAAGCTAGCAGGGGGCTGATACTGAAAGATTGTTTCCCAGAATCTCCGTTCACTTGCAAGCACAGTCCTACCTTCTGCTTTCTTTGTGTCCATTCATTAGCATATGATAAGAATGTCTCCATATTGGCTTCCTCCCCCCCTTTCTCTGCTTCCCCAACACACCTGACTAGGATATGAGTGACATGCCCACCCACCTGTCCTGGAATGCCTGAGAACTTGATCGATCCTTTCATGCCACCTGTAGAAAGGGATCTTTGTTGTAGGTCTGGTGTGAGTATAAAGTCCATACGCTACCCCCCAAAAAAATTTACTTAAAATCAGATAAAAGCATTACACCTCATCAGGCCTCTGCAGCAAAACTATGCTAAAAGAATGAAGGCTTGTTTGTCATGAAATAGTTACTGAAGTGTTTTTTTGTTGCTATTGTTTGCTTTTCCAAGGTATCTTATCTTGGCTGTACAAGGGACCATCAATGCATCTCACACTGTGAAAGCACAACAGCTGGACAAGCTCCCTAAAGAACAACAGGTCTTGGAGGTACAGAAGTGGACATTGAGGGAACAAGGCCCAGGAGTCCACAGTGATGATCCTGACCCACCCATTGCAAACACAGATGTGGCATCGCCTGATTACACACCAGGGGATTACACCACAGGGGAACATATGCTTTCTAACCGTGGTGATTACCAGGGACTCTACCCTCCTGAGCAGGCAACACTGAAAGAACAGATATTGAATGGAGAAAGCAATGACTTCACCAAAAGGTGGGCTCAAGACAAGGCCTCCACCACCACAGGTTTCTTGTCAACAACAGCCTCTCCTGGGCAAAGCACATCTGGCAAACTTTTCTCTGGCTTCCCTCCTAAGAACACTGAACGTTTTGATCGAAAGAGCCATCGGAGGTCCGTGAGTGCTGTAACTTTATGAAGGAGCCTTTGTTTTTGACTGAGAGGAAAACATAATTGCATCTCTGAACAGCATCTGCCTCCCACACAGGGAGCATAGGTAGCAGAAGGAAAATAGAATTGCTATTTATATTAAATAGCAGTGCCTTCCGGAAAGAAAAGGCTAAGATATAATTTCAGCAGCCTATTGGGACTGTGTATGTTGTCTTTAGAATGTGACATAGCTCAGGTGTAGCCAAAGTGTATTTATTCTAAGGAAGAGAAATTTCCAAACGGCTTGGAGAAATATTAGCCCATCATCGCTTCGCCACTGTGAAATGCACTATTTGCTTGAAAACTGACAATATATCCTGAGGAGGGAATTTTGTTTTTTCACTAATAATGAGTCACTCCTGAATGTTATCTTTATCATGTCAGTTATCACCATAAGCCTTATGCCTGAGCTGGCACACCAATAGCCATGCGGTTGTAAGATAATTGTGATACATTTCTCTGCGATTGTAGAATATTTCCAGAAATTTCTTTAAATGCAACATCTTACAGGAAAAAAAACACTACATCAAATGAACTAAACCATTGCTGTGAAGTCTGTAGCTTCAATATTTTGCAAGTCAACATCCAAAATAATATTAATATTTTTTAAATTGTCTGTGTGTATATATATATATATGCATTATTATCATACTTCACAACTCGTAACTTATTGAGCAGATAACTTGTTTGGCATAACCACCAATACTCAGATTGGGGAAAAATTACTTGACTGTAAGGTCCACTGATTTCAAAGAAGGTACTCCTAAACTCAAGGAATAAGGTTTGAACCCCAAAATTAAACCAATTAATCTCCATTGTTTTAAATAGAGTTCACATGGCTCAAGTCCAACTGTTAAGCTTCTGTTGATTTACTAGTCAACCTGTTGATTTCCTACCAGTCACATTGACTAAGCCAGAAAGATGATTAGGCAGGTGACAGGAAAGTGGGGAATAAGGAGATGCCATACTGAGTGCAGATAGGTTCCTCAATATGAGTAAGTGTATAGAATGATGATGATCATGGATGTGCATTCCAATCCCTTCCCATTAATGGATTTAAAGTGGAGCTACAGATTTTATCTCTGCTTCATAAGCTAAAAATCAAGATTCTACTTCTCTGTGAAATGGCATTGGGAAAGAAAAGTCATTTTCTGAGCAAAGCAGCTGAAAGGAGGAGGAGGAGGAGGAGTGCATTTCACATTAACTCTCCATACCATCATTTTATTTATTTATTTATTTATTAGCAAGTAAGTTTCATTGTGTGGTCATAGACTCGTTCATACAAAGATAAAATAGATAAAATAAATACATAATATAATATATAATCTTGGTATAGCATTTTGCACATTCTTATAGCTGAAAATAAAAACTTAGCCACTAACTGTATAATTATTTGATTCTCTCTAGACAACAGACACTTCAAATAACTTGTGGGGGGGTAGACCAGTACATTTAGTCATAAGTGAACCAAGATATTGAATGTGTTCGATCCTATATAGGCTACATTCTAAAATGATGTGCGCCAAGGTCTCAGTAATTTCTTTCCCACAGGGACAAATCCTTTCACAATATGGGGTATTATTAAAATGCCCTTTTTAAAGGGCTGAGAGAAAGCAATTAAACCTAGCCCTTGAAAAGGCAAAGTGATATCTCAGTGCTCCAATTTGGTATAAGTAGTTAGCTGGCTTGGGGAAGTTAAAATTTAGGCCAAAACACAGTGGTCTGCACAAACTAGAGAGTATTGAAGGTCTATATCTTTGATACGTTGTATAAGTACTGTATTGGTTTAACGCAACCTTGAGGCTGTCTCAGTAGGAAATCCTGTATTGGTTTAATGCAACCTTGAGGCTGTCTCAGTAGGAAATCCATAGAGAAGCCTAAGAGATGTAGTTTTTCTGTAAATCCCTTATGCCATAAGCTGGCAAAGACATCTTTCAGCAAATAATATAGGTAGCCACAAATTATTGGGGCATAGACCACCTTTAACCAATAACAGAATGCATGTTAGCCACGTTTGACATTCTACTGAGGGCATACCAGCTTCATTTGACATTCTACTGTGGACATACCAGCTTCCAGCCGCAGACCGGCTGAAGAGGCGCATCTTGGCATGGCAAATAAGGATCGTAACGTATCTGATAAAATGCTTTCAATGGAGGGGTTAAAAGCCTTAATCCAAACAGCAATACCATACAACAACTGTGCAAGGATTTTATGCTTGACTACTCTAGGGCTGCAGATATCAGCTCCCCACCCTGAACATAGTGAAATCATCTAAATAGTTTACTTGTGTTATTGGCCACCTGTACTGTTGTTTGTCTGTGGTAGTAGAATCAGGAGAGGGAGTGTGAAAAGGTAATTCCCAGAATATTTGAATTTTTTTATCTATTCTATCCGTTAGTCCTCCATAACCCAACCTTTGGTTTTACTATGTCTAAAGAAGACATTATTTTGGTTTTATCAAAATTGATTGTTAGTAAATTTTTCCTGCAATAGCTCAAAAAGGCATGCATGATTTGTTTAAGGCCAGTTTCCGAGAGTGACATGAGAACCGCATTGTCTGCGAATAGTAGGAGGGGTACATTGATTTTAGCCAATTTCGGGAAGTGATATTCAGGAGCTAAACAACTTTTGGAGAGGTTATTAAGATATAAGTTGAATAGTGTGGGCGACAATATGCAACCTTGGGGGGAAAAAACCCTCTCCACCTGAATGGGGTTTGACAGATTTCCATCCATTCCACATCTTACCCTAATTGTGGACTGCTTTTGAAAAAGCCTTTTGTCAATCTAGAAAAAAATAAAGTTTTTTCCATAAATTTCCTCTTAGATTTGAAACACAGGCAGACTTTAAGTCTATAAAAGCTGCAAACAGCCCATTTCCACGGGGGCCCATATACCTCTTTGCAAGATGGTTTAAAATTATACAATGGTCAAAGGTGGAGCAGTTCTTTCAGAAGCCAGCCTGTTCATGCCTCAAAATGTTTTCCAACTCAGTCCATGAGCTAAGTCTGTTGTTTTTCTGGCATAACACCATTATTTTATTTTATTTTTTTATTTAAAATATTTTTAGCCTACCTTTCTTTTTAGAAAGACCCAAGGCAGCTTGAAAGGCAATACCAGCTACTTTTACCACAGCAGTGCTCCCAGACTCAAGTTTTCTTCCAGCTAGGAGCTCCAGACCTTTATTTGTGATGGAAAACTTGAGTCTTCAAAGGGACCATTGTAGGGAGAAAAAGGGGGATTTGACCCCTTATTTTTTCCCATTACTTCTTCACTAAAAGTCACTCCTGCCACTGCTTCATCAAGTAAAAGTAGCCACGTCTAAGGTGTAGCATCTTAAATGCATATGTCACTATTTCTGCCTCTGGTGAAATTACAAACTACAGTTGACACATAATGGGAAGCACTGATTAGCACAGAATGTGTTTTCACCCATTTCCGTATCTTGCATCCCAGCTGGTGTTGTTTTATGATTGGTCACTGGAAGGTAAATATGGGTTGAATTTGTGAGTCTGATTGCCCAGGTCAAAGCAAGTTGTGGGAGAAAAAAAAAGGGCTACCAGCTTCTAAATACAACACTAGTATCTAGTGAGTTCCCTATATAAAACTAAGCAAACTAATGAATCTTTGAGAAGATGATTACGAGAAGGATCGGTAAAGCCCTTTTTCACTAAAGATGCTCCAGAAATGCTCTATCTTAATTCTATCTTATTTTTTTCAATAACGCCATAATCAAATGCCTATTTCTTTTACAATTCCATAAGGCAAAGACTCTATTCATTCAAACAAGATGGACAAAGTAAAAAATTGGGATAATTTGTTTTAGTTTTAAAGAGAAAGGCAAAAGCAAAATGCAGCTGCAGCTGCCATTTTTAAGTGCCTACACTGGTGCTCGTGTCAGATCTATTTAGTTCAGGCACAAGCTATTTAGTTAATGGGTATCCCAGTGAAACTGCTACTCCTCTTTTGCTTAGTGACATTTTATCGCAGCAAGATACAAGCAGAATTAACAGTGCTACAAAATTTAACAGTGCTTGGCACCACAGAGAGTTGGACCACAAAATATGCCAAGGCAGGAAACATAAAGCCAACATCTCCTGAAGAACAGATGTGCTCAACAGTTCACCACAAACTCTCAGTGCATTATTAGCACAAGTTGCACGAACCTTTTGGGGAACGAGAACCAGATGGCTTGAAATAGAGTAGGACAGACATACATGCAATTTACATATCCTTTGGCGTGTGTCACTTAACTACCTTGGAGGGATGTGGTGGCACTGTGGGCTAAACCACAGAAGCCTTTGCTGCAGGGTCAGAAGACCAGCAGTTGTAAGATCGAATCCGCATGATGGAATGAGCTCCCGTCACTTTGTCCCAGCTCCTCGCCAACCTTGCAGTTCAAAAGCATGCAAATGTGAGTAGATAAATAGGTACCACCTCGGTGGGAAGGTAAAATGGTGTTCCCTAGTCACGCTGGCCACGTGGCAATGGAAATTGTCTTCAGAGAAACGCTGGCTCCATGGCTTGAAAACGGGGATGAGCACCGCCCCCTAGAGTCGGACATGACTGGACTAAAAATGTCAAGGGGAACCTTTACCTTTATACCTTACCTAACTACCTAACTTAATGCTAGGTAGTTGTGTTCTCTGATCTCCAACACGCCCTGTGGGTGGGATCCAGATGGGCTCCTTCCATTTCCAGAGGGAACCAGGATCTAGTGGAAGTCTCACGTTGAAACAAGAGAGCAGCTTTCTCTAAGTCTCTCTGCAGCCCTCAACTTGACCTCCTACCCTATTCCAGATGTTTGCACAACCTTCCGGAACCACATACGAGATGTCATAGGAGCTGGACGGGGCATCAGAGAAACAAAACTTCCATTCCCTTCATCCAGTATCAGAGGCACTCTCATGAGCACAAAGGTGTATCCACCCACAATGTTTTGTTCCACAGACCGTTCAGGGCTAGGCAAGGCAGCCTTATACAAAAGTGGGTGCAGCTCGTAGCAAAAGAGCGCCCTTTTCTACACAGCTGTCAGAGATGCTGTTCTCTTTTACAACTGCCCACCCTGCAGTTCTAATACATCATCATGTCAACGATGCAAGGCACCTCTCTCCAGTCTTCAGCAAAGGCACATAAAAATTAATAGGTCAAAACGAATCCAAAGTGAAATGTTTCAACACAACATGTCAGCGTCAGTCACTGGGGGAGGAATAAATCATCAGGCTTGTAACAGGAAGGGTGTAACAATAAAATTTGGAGCACCTGTCCTTTTAAATCTCATTAATAAACATCACGGCTTGTTTCAGCTACAACGTTATGTTGATACCATGGTCAAGCTGCTTGTGTTAAACTGCTTACTTGATGTTCTTTCACATCAGGATTTGGCTCAATGGCCAACACAGAAATCTCCAACAAAGATGCTCTGCCAATTTACCCTCATGTATGGGGACCATTGTACTATCCAAGCACTGTACAAACAACATCAGCCTTATTTTTATGGCAGTCTAAGAGCTGATGATGGTGACACTGTGGCACCACAATAGTGCCACAGTGGCACAGCAACAACAACGATGGTGGCACAACAGTGATGGCAATGGCAGCAGCACAACAGGAACAGGTAACCCTCTCACCAGGCACGAACCAAAAACTGGATTGTGAACCAGTTCAGTTTTCCGGTTGGTTTGTGGTGGTTTGTGGCTAACCACGAACCACCATTTTTCAGGTTCACGCCCATCTTGTAAGCCACACTTACAAGAAGAGTCCAAAATACAAACTATTGTATTGATCCATATCAACAGAATGGTTCTAGCAGGTTTCATCTCCACCATAAACAGGGCTTTTGTAAAGGTAATGGGTCTTAATTGATCACTGCTACCCAAGTAATCTCAAAATATTTTGCAGACAGTGCATAGAAATACATAGTTTCTAGGATACTTCACACATCCACTGCTACTTAATGAGTGAAAGACAAAGAGAATAGAGGGGGGCAGATGATATCATCTTCCTTGCTAGTCCAAATGTCCTAGTTTTTCAACCCTCTTAGAATGGGCTCCACTGTTCATCACTGATGACAAAAGATTCCCCTCGATTGGGGAGCCCCACTACTGGGACCGACAGTGGTGACACTTAAGCGAACCTTTGTTAGTACTGCACAGAAGGTGGCAATGGTAAATGCTTGAACATTCCTTGCCATAAAAACCCTATGATGTGACACTCCAAAACAAAAGAAGTGATAGGGCTGGAAGATGAGACTCCCAGATTGAAAAACACTCAATCAGCAACTGAAGAAGAACGAAGAACATGTACAAATAGCACACTTGCTAATGATGCAATTAAAGCCAAAAGGACATCTAATGACTGATGTGCACAAAGTGAAAGGAAAGTCCAATGGTGCACAACACATACAATTAATTGGAACATGGAACTTGAGAAGTATGAATCAAGGTGAACTGGAAACTATAAAAGAAGAAATGGAATGTATAAACATTGCAGTGCTTGGTGTCAGTGAATTAAAATGGACTGGAATGGC